TATTGTAATATTGTAATTTTAATTGATTTTAATTGTTTTGTAAACCGCCCAGAGTCGTTTAACAAGATGGGCTGTGACAAATACAATAAATAAATTAAATAAATAAATACCACCGGGAATTACCAGGGCTGTAGTCTCTAGGTATCAGCCCCACCAGACAGGCCATAAGAAAGCTAAGACTACTTTTATTGAGAGTGATATTGCAAGTCTGATTATGTTGAACCTCTTCCTCCTTATTCCCATGTGAATTGGACTTAAGATGTTTAAGACTTAAGAGGAAGTGGACAGTGTTCTCATGACTCTAAGCTTGGCCACTTGCTCCTAAGATCCAGCTAACTAAGGCTGTCCAGTGGGGTAACGTGTGGTTGGATTCTAGCAGTGGTTAATTCAACCTTGAGAGAGGGGATTGTTCTTCTGCCTCTTAAGGAGGTGTTGGCACACCCTCTCCTCAAGAAGCCATTGCTAGATCCCACCATACTGGACAACTTTTGTCCAGTGTCCAACTTCCCTTTTTTAGAGAAGTGTACATAGTTTTGGATGTAGAAATGGGAAATATTAAGAACAAAAATTAATGAGGAATTTCATTCTAAAACCAATGAAGCCAAATTTCTAGATATGAAAAGGTGAAATAAAGGAAAACAAGGGAAGGAAACAGTCACATACAGAGAATTATGAATAAAATCAATACAGTCAGCTTACTTGCTATGTCCTTGAGTAAGATCTTGGGCTCCACATGTGTTCATTGCAGAGAAGCTGGTTGAAGAAAAATCTTATGGGCCTCATGTTTGGATATCTTTAGGCAAGACCTTTTAGTTCCTCTTCCTTCCTTCTTTCTTGCCTTTCTGTTTTTCTGAATAGTTATCCCTAATCTTACAGAACATGAGTGAAACTAGCAGCCTCTTTAGGGAGACTTGTTGCTTTGCCCAGTCAAGGACTATGCTTCATCTTTGTTGTCCTTCATCTAGACCAGTGTTTCTCAACCTCAGCAACTTGGAGTTGTGTGGACTTCAACTCCCAGAATTTCCTAACTGGCATGCCAGCTGGGGAATTCTGGGAGTTGAAGTCCATACATCTTCAAGTTGCTGAGGTTGAGAAACACTGATCTAGACAGTAAATCAAGAATTACCTAGTGGCTACTTGCCTAATTATAAAAGTACAGTCTGGTTTTCAACCAGCTGTAGCTTTCTATAGATGAGATTACATGGAAGAAGCTATTTTGGAAAACCAAAGCTGAATTCCATCTACCAGGCCTCTCGGCATAGAACTAATTTATCAGATTTCTTTAGGGACACCTTGGTGTCATGCCAAAATTAGGGGTTTGTCACATTTCCCAACCAGTATGCATTTTCCAGTAGAGGAGAAAAATATGAATAGCTCCTGGGTAATGTTTTAGTTTGTTCCTGATGGGTTACTTGAGTACTGCTCTAGCAGGAGAAAATTAAAATGATGCAAAATCCATCATTTATAGTAACCTGGAAATGCAGTCATGGTGGCACTACTTCCTTGAAATACTTTCAACCTCTCTCTTTAATTGTGTTACTTTGGTAATGGAAAATTCCCCAGATTTGTTTTTGTTTCACTTAAATATTAGTCCATTGTGTGCCTTGCAGCAGCATTGGTGGTTATGAGTTGCTCTTCTATGCCTTTAACATCTATATTTTTTGCTTTCTTCTCCCTCCTGCCAAATGAAGGCCAAAAAACGCCAGGCCTTCCTAACGGAGACAAGTGAAAACAATGTGAGAGAGCTGGAGTCACTTCTGGACAGCTTTATTATGTCAAGCCAATGGACAGCAGGTGAGTTGAAGCTATGAAATGACAGATGCATCTATCAATGTTCCAACATCGCTAAGTAGGGGAATTCTGCAGATGCCTCTTACATTCCCTCTTCTCAACATGCTTTGATTTGATGACATGATAAGAGCAGCTCTCGCAGCAGTTGAGTGGCCTCACTGGCTGAGATGGGGTGACTGAATGCAGGCCTGATGTTGTCAGCCCAAAACTTGATTTACAAGTGTTGGGTTGTTTGTGATTGGTCAGGAAAGGGCTAGCTAGCTGTGCGCTAAAGCCATATGAGAAAAATGTCCTGACAGCGGACTTGCCAGGGGAACAGATGTTTTTGATTGAACTGAGCCAAATTCAGAGGCAACCTTCAGCTACTTAAAGGTTATGCATTCAAAAAAAAGTCATGTAGGACACAGAGTTTAACACATTACTCTTTACAGTGTTAGTTTAAAGTCAGCTCAGGGGTAATCATTGCAGTTATGCCAAGGCAAATTCCACCCCAACTGAAGTGCAGAAATGGCTTTTTTTCTCCTCATTGTCTTCCCTGTGTCATCAGTAATGTTAATTCCAAATGGAGGAAAGTGCTGAAAGAATTTTCAGAAATGAAAGGTCTTTTTTCCTCATTCTTTTGGGATTTGTTGTTGAGCCACTATAATTCCATCTTTACGCATATCTGTCTTCCTTTCCAGTTGGTAGCCAGAAGGGTAACCAAACTCACAAAGGAGAGTTTAACCCTATTTTATTTTGTGCAAGTGCTTGCAGTTTTACAGAAGCAGACAATATGCATTAAAATGATCTCATAAAACTGTATCAAGCAGTCTTAAGCCTCGGCCTCCCTTGCTTTTTCTCCAAAAGTGAAAAACAACCATACTGAATTCCCCCCTCCATTCCTCTTTTTCTGCATAAATCTGTCCTATCGCTTGTATTATTTTTCAAGACTATGCTGCTGGTTGACCACCCACCTACAGTCAGAGGGGAAGTAATTCTAGACAGAAATGATCCTGATAATACATATTTTACAGTGACAGAAGCGGCACGGAAGACTTCCTGGCCTAGTTCCGTCTCAGTTCCATGGTGATACAGCCACCGTTTGTATTAATCACAGTTTGGAAGCTAGGACTGTTCCCACTACATAGTTGAGATTTGTTTTTTGCTTTCACACAGCAGGGATTTTCTTGCCGTTCCCTCTTGCCTTTGAGCTTTCTCCATAAATGAGTATTGATGCAATTACCATGAATTTTTCATGGTTCTAATCCAACCCAGCCAAAGATTTGAAACCAAAATCCGACCTGTGTCTGGGGAGATGGGGAGACACAGGACAAAGCTTAGAGAAACCAGGGAACTGAGACTATTGAAATTGGCTAAACTTCCTCTTTTTCAGAAGCATTGAATGAGTTTCTGAACTGAGCATTCTGGAACAACTTGGTTAGTGCAGAGGTTTTGGCAAGGGGGACTGAGCTGCCTGGAAAAAAGAGCCAAGGCAATACAAGTTGAAAATAATTATTCACATGAAACATATGCTTTTGTGTGTAGGTATTATTTTTAGTTTTAATGTTAGAGTTGTCTTTGTAGTCTTGGGGAAAAAGATGTCAGTGGGAAATATGCCATATCCTAGTTTCTGGGATGATTCCTTTCTTTTCTCCTTTCTACAGATTTAACATTTTTGTACTGTGCTACCACATCAAGCCAGACTCTGACTAGAGCATGCCTTGAGGCTGAACAGAAGAATAGGCTGATATTCTGCCCTGCTTCCTTAAGTTACTTGAACAGGGTCATGCCTTGTTTTCAGCACACTGAAACAAGAGAGATCAAATGAATGATTATGGCTAAATATAATAAAGAAAGGTGACCCGGTTTTTCTGTAAAGTGAATCACAAATTAAATAGTAGCCCTCTTCAGATCTACTCACAGTAAAGTCTCCTTGGGTATAGCTAGGCTGTATGGCTGCATGTTTGAGGGGCTGAGCATCTGGCCATGTAGTCTTCTATGGGTAATATGGAAAGACAACTAGTATAGAACTACTGTGTTTGGGGATAGTTTTGCTTTAGGACTACAAACCAGCAGTAGCATAGCACTGGGGAGAGACAGAGATGCAGGCCTGTGTTGGTGTCGTAGACAGATCAGTGGATTTGTTCTCTGAGGAGACCACAAAATGCTCACCACCCTAACTACACAATGATTAACCATGAGAATTACACAGTAAAGGAAAACTGCCTTACCAGAACACAGAAATCACAGAACTGGAATGGAATTCATACTTAAGCTGCCTCTCTTATGAGTTGAGAAGATTTTTTGAAGATTTAAACAATTAGAAATATACAGTGTAAGAGGCGAGCTGATAACCATCAGTTTAGCCACTCTGTGCATCTGATGAAGTGAGCTGCAGCTCATGAAAGCTTATGCCTTTTAATAAAATGTGTTAGTTGGAAAAGGTGCTACCAGAGTGCTTTTAAACAGATATATAGGACATGCAGTTCCTTTTTACATCCTGTATATTTTTTTTGTATCTTTTAACATCTTACCTATTATGTTTATTACTCCCTCTGAGGACCCTAGAAAGCCTCTCATCCCAGATAAAATATTATTACATTTTAATATCAAGTGACTTAGTTCAGGTTATCCTCTCTATCCAATATCTTCTCATAAAATACCTCTGCTTGATATATTTATTTAACATTTCTTAGTGCATTACTTTTTTCTTGAGACAGAGGTTAATCTAAAGATTAAATATTAGTCTACTACTGGTCTGCTGGAAATGCGTACAGAAGGCTTTTCCACACTAACAACACAGACCCAAGTTGCAATGCACGCACACACGCACACACGCACACACACACACACAACTGTCTATAAATTTATATCTGGACTTCTAAAACAGCATCTCTGAACACCAGTGTGTCCTTCTTTGGCCCCTGCTAAGCTCTTTGCCCCACCTGAGTTTTTCAATGTTTTGGAAAATAAATATGGTGGTAGTGGGTATAAGAGGCTACAGCCCAATAGTTTGTTTGAAAGTATTCCTATCTGCCTTTAAAAAAAACAAACCTAAAGCTGGGCTGGAGTATGAGTGGAGAGACTCCTCACATTTCGATTTCTGGTACATTTTGTCATTGACCTTGCTAGCACTGCAGCTTTTGATGCCAGTCATTTTGAGAGAATGCCATAGCATGCTCTTGACATTTTAGTTGTGTCTTTTGGTCCCCAGTGGTGGAAGACCCTGGGCTATAATGACTGATAATGGGTTTTAGGGATTCACACAGGAGTCTCCTCCAATCTTTTCTGGAGATGCCAAGATTTGACTGAAACTGTCCATGTACAGTGCATGTCCTCTGTCACTGAGTAGTAAGTATACTTATTATGGTCAAAGACCAGTATATAACGAAACTCAATAGTCTAAAATGGGGGATGGATGGATGGATATATATATATAAACAAACAAACAGGTTGCAAAATTAATTGGGCATATCAATCAGTCAGTTGCACATTTCACATATGACATTGCAGATTTAGCTGCACTTAGGGTAGTTCTATCACTGAGCTACAGCCATTCCTCACATTCTAGCTTTCATATGTTGGGGGATGTCTGGTCTCTGCCTCTGATATGGTTGCTTCTAGCAGTATAAAAAATGTCTATCTGTGTGATTGTGCTTTCTTGTATGTTTATGTAACAGGGAAACAGTTAAAGCGTAGTTTTTGACTAAAGGTAGATAACTAAACACTTCAGCGTGGTGGTAGAAAATGCCTGTTTGATTGAAATAGGTATGTGCGCTAAGGTTTTATTGGGGTTGAGCTCTTCTGGAGATACCTTGGAAGCTACAGTTTCTTAGGACAATAATGTCAGTAAAGTCAACAACCAGTCATCTAGCTCTAAGGCTGAGAAGTACAAGGCAAAATGTCCATTTAACTGTGGAAAGGTCAGAAAAAACAGTGCTGTAATTAATTGTGAACATAAGAGTTTCCCCTTCATGTTGACAGAGAGCAATCAACTCTTCAAACTACTATACAGCAGCTATGCTATATTGAATGTTTGGATAGCTTCTGCCCAGTTCAAGCCAGGGAGCCTGACACTGGTTAGAAGTGTTCACCTCTGTTAAAGGATGAGTCTTCTCTAAGTAAAGGGCTTAGCATGCTTTAGAAGATGTCAAACCTGCTAGAATCCTGAGAATAAAAGATGATAATGTAGTCGCCTCAGGTCTTTGAGGTGTTTAGAAACTTCCATCCCAGTTATATCATACAAGACCAGTTTTGAGGCAAATTCTCTTTCTTCCTTTGATAATCCTCCTGAATCCATAGCCTCATCTTCCAAAGGTAGGGAGTTGAAACTCAGGACCATGACCATGCCAAAGAAGGAGACTCTTGGAAGGTACAGATACAACCAGCTGTAGGCCCTGCTAGCCTGCAACCATGTCATCACATATGGGATAGGTAACTTCCTTGGGTTTGCACAGGGAATGGGGAGTGGGAAAACCTTGTTCCATGGATAGTGTATGTTTTGTTCACAAAACTGATTATATAAACTGTTTAGGAAAGTTCTTGGAGCAGAATTCATATCTCCCAGCTGGATACAGCAAGCTAGGATTGAAGTTTGAGGAGATAGAGTAACTGGCCTGTAAAAATTCGATTTCATTTACCAGATACCTTATGCAGTAGTTTGCCAGTTTAGAGTGCATATTGCTCTCCCAGGTGGCTAACAGTGAAAGGTGTACCATCTACTTCATTACCTAATAGTCCTGAGATAGCTAGGCTAATTTCAGTCATGGGACTGAATCATCCTAGCTTTTTTATCCTGGGGAAATACTGTGTCCATGCTTAGTTGCTAGCTAGGAGTGGCTGAGGACTCGATGTCCTCCATGACAACCATGGACTGGAAGCAACTAGTCCTTGCTAGTATATGGCCTAGCGTATGCAGCAGATCACATGTTGGATTTGGTGAAGGAATTCTCTGTAGCTCTATTGTCATTGGCAGATCATTCCCTGGTTAGTTTTAGACTGATCCTGCTCTTGGAGGCACAGTTTTATCTTGGTTCTGTTGCTTTCATTTGACTATGTTCAGAAAGTAGGGTTGGGGGATGATTGTTCTATATCACGGCTCTTTGCTTATGGCCTCCTTCAGGGTTCTATATTGTTGCCCAGTGTTGTTCAACATCTGCATGAAGCCACTGTGGAAAATTATCTGGAATTTTGGAGAAGTATCCTTGAATGTTGCTTAAGTTTCATAATGGGCTAGATAAAGGAGAATAAACTGAAATTAAATCTAAACAATCTGAAGGTGTTGTTGATAAATACAAAACTGAACTCAGGGATTGAAATTCATCTGGTTTTGAGTTGTTTTGAACTCCCTCTGTAGGTGCAGGTTTGCAGTGCTTCTTGATCCTTAGCTGTCACTGAATTTGATAGCTGTAGTGAAGAAAAGTTTGTAAGTTGTTTGTACAGTTACCTGTGCCAGCTGTGTCTCTTCATGAGCTGGTTGGGTTCAGTGATGGTTACATTCTGTCTTGGTTATACCCTTCCTGATTATTGCATAGCACTATATGAGACTATCCAGAAACTCCAGTTATTGCAAAATGCAGCAGGTAGGCTGCTAACCAGTGCAAGGTAAGGCATGATATGATGGCTAGGCTAAGAAAGATCTTTACTGATTGCCAGTTGCCTGTTAAGGTATTGGAATTTACCTTTAAAATCATAAACAGCTTTGGACCTGACTATCTCTCTTGTTACAAATTGATCCAGTTGTTAAGATCTGCAGGAGTTGCCCTTTTGAAGATGCCCCTCCAGTCAGAGGCTAGTTTTTCTTGCACATGGAGAAGGGCCTTCTCTCATCCATCACTTCCAGGGTATGAAACACATTCCTTTGAGAGTTGCATTTGGACTCCCTCCTCTGTTATCTGTAAAGACACAACTCTTCCACCAGGCTTTAATTTATATGGTATTTCTTTATTTCTTTATACTTTATTTCTTTATTATTTCTTTATTCTTTATTTCTTTATTATATGATATTTATTTCTTGCACATGGGGAAGGGCCTTCTCTCATCCACTGCTCCCAGGGTATGAAACACATTCCCTTGAGAGTTGCATTTGGACACCCTCCTCTGAAATCTGTAAAGACACGACTGTTCCACCAGGCTTTAATTTATTATATGGTATTTATTTCATTGTTAATTTTAATTTGTAACTTACGTTTTTTAAAAATTTTGTTAACAGCCTTGAATGCTTGCCAATGTGGTAATGCAGGATAGAAATCAAATTAATAAAATCAAAACATTCTTGAGTTAAGCACTGTCATCATTTTCTCATTTCAGTAGCTTTATTTTACTTTACTTTTTGTATTTAAGTTTTCATGGAAAAGAGGTTGGAGACATGGAGAAAGGCATTAGAATATTCTTTGCCACAAGTTGTTAAAGTATCCAACTTTCATGGTTATTATCAGAAATAATTGTGGTTATGGCAAACAGGAATTTTGGTTGCAATAATAACTATGAATGGATGAGAAACAAGAGAGGGTTCAATTTAGATAGAGAACACATTTTGGATTGAAGCTCCTTGGAGCTGCTTTTCTTTCAGAATAAAATAGCCAATTTTAGAGTTCTTTTTTAAAGAAAAGAAATGTGAATAAAGTGATATGTCTTTGGCTTGTAGGGTCTTTAGTCTTTAGAATAAAGAATTGTGCTGGCTTCATATTTATTTATTTCTCAAGTATTATTTTTTTAAATTCCTTTTTTAATATGAGAATAGGCTTTGAAATGTGAGATGCAGAACTGATGGCCTCCAAATTCAGTATCCAAGGAACAACTCTCTTAATAAAGGGTATACCTTTAATATCTCAAAGAAACTCAAGAAATCACAGTGGTCTTGAATCATCTTCAGACAGTTATTTGCATATTCTTTTACACATCTTTCATAAATATAAATTTATATAGAAGGTAACAGTGGCTCAGTGTTGGAATGTTGTTATAGAATTGGAGGTTCTGGAAAGATTCCTTTAGCCATCGTGTAGCATGAGACCTTGCCATATTTACCAATCATTTGCACCCATGCCTTTTGGAAACTGCAATAAAAGGACCACAGCTAAAAGTACATCCAGATCACACTGCTTCCAGTAACTTCTGAAAATTGAGTGCCAGTTCTCAGAATTAAGTCAGTTATGGTAGCCTGAACTCACAGACATTTTGCTTCTAATGAAGTGGCCACTGTTTTAATTATTAATTTTATAATTGGTTACAAACCTTCAGAAAGCACCTTGGCTGATGGCATGTTGAACCATGATTTGAATTCTTGAGTAAGGTCTGCCATGAATGCTTAATTAATGAACAGTCAAAAGACTGGATTTGGGGAAAAAGGATTGAGGAAATGCCACTGTTGACAAATGTGGCCATCATTTAAAATGGGTTAGATAATCATTTGGATTTCATTTTTCATTTTTTTCTATACAGGGTATGGAAAGAAATAATATTTTGAAGTTTCAAGTGCTTTAACTTGCACCCAGGCAAAATAGGAAGCCCTGTGGTCCTTGGCATAGAAAGAAAGTTTCTTTCTAAAATGTATGGCAGAACATGAATCATTGAAGGCACGAATACTCTGCACTTGAAAGCAAATGTTTGTTTCATTTGGAGGATGATCTTTTTTGAACGACACGTAGACTTGCAATCATTAGATACCTTTAAATAAGATTGGAGGTAGGCCTCAAGATGTGTAGGAAAACAAGCTAGAGTTCATATTTTTTCATGTGGTGAACTGCAGCCACAGTGCAAAAATTTTTCCTCAGCTTTATTTGATATTAAAGAACAGATCCACTAGTGTGCCTTGGAGAAAACATAGTGATTGTTCAACATTCTGTATTGTCACTGGAGCCCAACTGATTTAAATATCTCTGTTGCTCTTGGAGAAGTTTTTCTGTCTCTGTTCAACTCTAAGGGCTTTGTTTTGATTCTGTATTTTTCTTCAGGCATTCGCAAGGACAAAGATAAACCTCCAAGCTTCACTCTTGTCCTTGAGACTTTGAGGCGTACCTTGACAGATTACCAGAACAAGCTAGAAGACGCATCTAATGAGGTAACAGTTGCACTGTTCAGCTCCACATATATAGCCTTCAGCCCCCAATACTAGAGATTCCTTGCTTGTTACAGAGGTCAAAACACTGGGAATGTTGAGTTGACAGCTTTGCAGATAAGAAGAAGAAATAATTTTTTGCCACAGTTCTTCCTTTAAGCTTGCCCTGTGGTCATGATTCACTTAAACTAAGAATGTGTTTAGCTCTGTGTATATATTTATGTGATTTTTTTAATATTGAAATGCTGTAATGCCTAATTATTTTTAGTTAAGCTATGTGTGTGACAGGTTTTTATTATCCATTTGAGATTTAGTGTACATTTTAAACTATAAAATTATGTTCACATAGTTTACTACATGTGTTTCTATCCAGTACGAATTGATAGCAGGTGAATAAATGTACATACTTTAACATTAAGGGGAAAATGTATTAGAATTTGAGTTTTTGCTGTCTTAATATATATAATATGTATGCATTTTAAGAAAGATGTTTGTGGAATATTTTTGTTAACATCCTCAAAGTAGGAATAGTTAAATCTGGTTTTGAGTTTGTTCTTAGTGTTTAAAATTAATTAAATAGATCCTTGCCCCCCCTCCCACCCCCACCAATGTACATAAGCAGGCATTCTTGGATTTATGTCAGTTTGGATTGCAATGTTGTATTCACTACTCAAGAGTAAACCTAATTAAACTTAAAAGACTTCTCACAGCACCATATGTCTCATTACCTTCTCAGGGTGTTAAGTTTAACTGGGCTATTGCTCAGTTAAGTTGTTCAGTTTAATGGGATTATTGATAGAGCTATAAAACATGTGAGTTGTGTGCAAAAAGATGATTTGATTTTTAGCAAACTGCTACAGTTTTGACTTAAATATAAGTTAAAAATATCAAACTCTTACAAAGACTTTAGAATGTGTTTGATCCGAATAATTTTGAAAACAACAGTTAAGATTTAAATCTTTTGTAGTCAAGTCTTTTGTGCTATCTGAGGGCCACCAAATAATTTACAAGGGAAGCAGTTATACATTTTGGTACACTACCACCCTTACTTAGTCTCTTTTGTTAACAACCCACACGTTTAGTGGCCTTTTGAGGCTAGGCCCTTAATATCCACCGTGAATTGTTATTTGGGAGGATGAACATCACCTGATCTTCAGCGCAACTGAAAAGCCAACTCAGCAGGCTTTGGCTTAGGAGCATGTTTTGTTGTGAACTGATGCCAGAGACAGCAGTGGGAGAGACCAAAGAGGTGACTGTTTAAAAAAGCAGAAAGAGTATTCTGTCAGCAAGAAGAATGAACTGTCAAGAAAATAAATCGCAAACAGTCCAGGGCCAACAGATGACCTGCCACAAGACTTCCCAGTAGGACTGAATGGGCCTGACCCTGAAGTTGTCATATGGAGCCAGAGACCACAGCATACCCTCCTGATAGGCAGATGGGATAGCTCTGTGCCCTTTCTTAGCCTTGTTGATAGCATCCCTGTCTTCTGGTGTTCTGTTTTCCTTGCACTGTAATTAATAACTAAACTTTTCTGAGCAATTAAATAATGGGATAATCAGAGCCATGTTCAGAAAAAAAAATTGTCTTCATTTTGCTTGTAAACTTTCTTCAGCCATTTTAAAAATGCATACGTATCATAATAACCTTTTTCTATTAATGTATTCAGTCAGAGCATCTTAGTAGGTTTTTACATGTTTTACCATATAAGCCAAGTCAGGCTGAGACTATGAGGCTAAACGCATTTATCTACATGCCCCACTGAACTTAATAAAATAACTTGCAAGTAAATGTGCACGCAACTGCTGTATTGAATTGATAAATTGTTTGGGGGAATCCAGTCCTTGTGGATGGAAAATATATATAAGGCAGCTGTAGATACTGATATAGAGCAGACAGGGACACCACAATGAAATAAAAGCAGCAACATCTTAAATTTGAAGAACGTCTAGTGTCAAGTTGCCCATTGCTGTAATATTTGCCAGTGTGTTCCCTGCGTTTTACTCCCAGGAAAATCAGTCTGCATGAAATTTCGGCTTTAGCCTGTAGGCAATCAGGCTGAAATTTCATTGCTCTTGAATCTGATACATTGTTTACTACATATTTTTTTGCTAGCAAAAGAAAATGACAGTTCTTTCTGAGAAGATGGTGAAAGAACTTGAGGCTTCCCAGCACCAGCTAAGATCTCAAACTCAAGGACTTCAGGTATCTCTGTGTTTAACATGTCTGTTAACTTAAACCCAAATGTATATTCTTCTAGTAAGTTTTGTCTTGATTGTAGCTATAACCCTGAAAAGTTCTTATGCAGGGATTGTGTTAGCTGCAGCAGGATTTCTCCAGAATAAATGGTTTAAGACTACTAATCTGTGATGGTTTTGAAAAATGCTAGTGCAACAAACCTAAAAGTAAAACAATAGTTCCACTGGACTCATTCTAGTGGCATTGTTTAATTTAATTGTTAATTCCGCAGGTTTGTTATTGTAGTTAACCATTGGAGTAAATGGCCTTGTTTGTGGAACATTCAGACATGTATATCTGAAAATAGTTATCAGATAAAGAAGATTGTGCTTTATTGCATGAAGCCTTTATCTTTCCTTTTTTTTTTTTTTTGGTACTACTTTTAGGAAGCACACAATAATTTTACTGAGGCCAGCAAGGAGTTAAATAATCTGCAAACTAAGTGTACAGACAGAGAATCTTTAATAGCTACATTAAAAATGGAACTACAAAACGTATTGCGTTGCTTGGAGAAAGAGAAAGTGTGTTGCACAGAATATAAAAATGAAATTCAGAAGCTGACACAGACTTATGAGAAGGATACAGAGGTATTACCAGAAACAAGATGATTGTCAAAAATATTCTTTAATTTTTACCTTTCATATTTTCATATATCAGATCATTAGTCTATAGATTCAGATTTATGCCACCACAATAAGAAATCCAAATAATTGCTTTCCAAAACCTATATGAACGTTTATTTCTGGCATTATATTCTTATTTTATTTTTCCACTTAATAAATAAGAGTAACCTGGGTTATTCCTTCTAATCTGGTTTGTTTTCCAATTTGGTCCTCCTGCCATCTTAACCCTTTTTTGGTTTGTTTCTTATTCTTGTTTTTAATGTTTAATCAATTTGTAAACTGCCCAGAGTTGCTGGGAGTTGGGTGGCATATAAATGTAATAAATTATTATGATGATTTTAAATTATTAACTGCGGAACCTATCTGATTATTTACATTGAGAGAATATCATTGTTTCTGTCGAGATGGGAAATGTAAATATTATATAAAGAAAGATGCCTAAGGATTTTTTGGAACTTAATGTTTAGCTGAACACAAATACATACATTTGAAACATATCTGCATTTGGAATAGATTAGCTGTTTAATCCCTTGGCCCCAATTCCTATTAGCTGTTTCAAATGGCAAGTCCAAGAGACAAGTTGGATCTAGGTCATTTTACCCACCCACCAACAGTCAATTTAGCTTGCCCGTTCTTGGGATAGCAACTGATTGTAGCATTGTGTGCAGTAATTGTTTCATGAACTGTTGTTTTGAAACATGCTTTCCACCATGATGTTTATCTTATTTTAAAAATACATAGTTTGCTTGTGTTTAGAGTTTCGTTTTCTTTTGCACTCACAGCTTTTCTGCACTAGGTATGTTGAATGTATTCTTTATTTCAATTGTGCTGCATATTGTGCTCATTATTGTAACAAATATGAGAAGGAATGCCAAGCGAGTAAAAAGGAAACATTCTTTCCACCCTTCTTACAGTCTGGGATTTAAATTGTGTCCATATGAATCAGCTGGAATTGTTCTGCTCATCAGATAGTGATTAAAGTAGAGGAAACTAGAAGCCTGACTATATTGTAAAGTCAGCATGTCTACAGTATTGTGGTTGGGTTCAACATGTGTGAATTGATTCTAGGTCTTTGGATTCCTTTTCCAGGCCAAATAGATGATTACTATGCTTGGTTTATCACAGCCCAAGCAAAAAGGACACAATGGCGACAGATTAAATTAACAAGGAGAAGTGAAAGATTGGATGGAAATGCTTTTGTTACTATTTCACCGTGTGTTGTTGGTGTTTTCTTCCGAGCGATTTAAACACCAAAATATGGTTGGAAAAATCACAACAGTAATTCCAGTTTTAATGCCTTTATGAAGTTTGTTTGGAAATGTCTTGGGTTGGGCTGCATCTAAAGCATGCTAAAAGCAGTGGAAATCTTTTCATTGAAGATAGTGGGTTTTGGATCACATGCTCAAGTTTTGGTTTGGGATTTGCAGAAAAGTTCTGAAGCCCTTTGCATTAAGCAAAATGATGCACAATGGGACTCTTTTCCCATTTATATTAATGAAAAATGTTTCAGTGTCGAAAGTCAGCAGCGTAGATATTAAATGAACTATTTCATTCTCCAAACATATTTGTACTTTATTTAAGGAGTTGGATACATGTAATTTTTAAAAAGATAAAGCAATATAATATAATTTTCCTACATAATTACATTTAATTATCCCTGGCTGAAAGTATTTAATGAAGTTGTAAATAAGGATAAATGAAACAGTGTGCTAAGCATGAAAGACCCTCCGAAAATAGAAATTATATTCCGTGTCATGAAGTCAAAGTATTTTACATAGCCCTGCTTGTAGTCCAAATTATTCATTGCATATGTATAGGGAAAAAATGGGCAGATAATAACACAGGGAAAAACCCTGGGTGTACAGCAGGGGAGAAGTAGAGCTGAACAAGCAGTTGCTTTTTCAAGAGCTACCCCATATATAACACTTAGTTTACTCCCTGTGGAAAATGTTAGTATGATCTTTTTTATTCATCAAAAAATTGCATTCTATTCTATTAATAGATGCAATAATAAAAAACACTGCAAGGTCTGATTCCCCACATCGTTAGTAGGCTACACATTCTAAACTTAACTAAAGGGGAAACCCCTCACTGCTTAAATAAAATGTCTGCAGGATCAGCCCTAGTGAAAATATAGCAGGCAATTATCTATATCGTGATTTTGATTAATTATTTGAGCATAGGTCATCTGTTCCTTTGGAACACTCATTTATTTTTATCTATATTAGATATTTCAATGAATTTTAGAAATATTTGCAATTAATTCTTTCTTCCCTCTCTCCTTCCTTTCCCTTTCTTTTTTCCAAAATTCAATTGCATTTTGCAGGAGAAGCTAACTTTCCTCCATACTTTATATCAGCACTTAGTAGCAGGCTGTGTTCTTATAAAGAAATCAGAAGGCATCCTGGATAAATTCTCTTGGCCAGAGCTTTGCACAGTCTTGCAGGAGAATGTTGATACCCTGATCTTAGACCTCAACAAGGCTAATGAGAAGGTACTGTCCTCAGGCACCAGACGCCTCTATTAAATTCAGTGACATTTGTCCACATCACAATATCGTTAAAAAGGACTGACATTCATCTTATTTCAAAAAGAATTTGGATGTTAATAATTCAGTACCGTTAATTATGGCTTGTCTACAGCTCGGTTTGATGCCATTGCTGTGGGCATGTAAATGTGACTGAAGTCTGTATGAAATCTCTAAGCTCCAGCTTCTGTTCAGGACTTGCTAATACTATTAGCCAGTGTTAGCCACAGGGACCTAATTAAAAGAAAATAAATTAATCTTACTGATGAAGCTATTCAAAGGACTGAGTCATTTACACTAATAAACCAACTCTTTATCTCAGCATAAAACAGAAACAAAATGCACTTGTTCAAGGAACATCATCTTTAAAATATTTGCTTGTGAGTAGGAGGAATTATTTGAGGAAGGAAAAAAAAACGTTTTCAGGAAATGCCAGATGCTCTTTGATAGTTTTGGATCTGTAAACACAATATAGAAATTGCAAATCTGTACATCATGACTTTAAAGAAGATAGCATTTTTCTTTAAGGAAAGCTTAACAATGAAGTTCATGCATATGTTTACATGAATTGACTTGTTAGCTGAAGATAATCTTGATTTTTAAAAGAAGCATTCCGTTATGTAGAAATAGTTCTGCAGCCTATATTTTAATACTTCTATACATCCCCATTCCTGGCTCGTTCACTGAATTACCATGGTTTTCTGTGATCTAGGAGGAGAATTCCAGAGTTTGGTCCTCACTCACATTAGGCTCTCCAAGGATAGGAAGAAAAGCATTTCATATGAGCTGAGCTATTCATCTCACATTCAGGTTTAAGGCAAGCCATAGGAAGTGAAGTATAACTCTAAGGAACTTTATTTTTAAAGTTTAAGATCTAGTTAATGCAAAATGATAACAGAGAGTGCAATCAGAAATTCTACGAATGCCTTAACCTAGAAGAAACCTGATGATATGAGCTTCTGGGCAAATGCCCCAGTGGGCTAGAATAAGCTTCTAGGAGTTGACAGGAGGGCTTAACTAGATTTGTGTTATTGCCTAACTTAGAGCAAATACAGTTTTTTTTTTTTAGTGTGATTTTTAGTCCTGTTAGATTAATAAAGTAG